ATTCGCGCTTTGGACTTTTTGCATCTCTTCCCATGTCAGGAATAATGTTATAAATAATTACTTTACAAGTGAAACATTAGAAGAAAAAAAAAGAAAAAAACACAGAAAGATATTCGATCTTTTTTCTTCTTTTCATGTATGTTTCAACAACAAAGTGGCGCACACTGAGCCTTCAATTTTGCTAGGACATATTCCAGGCAAACACCAGGGGTGTAGAGAGCGAAAGTGAGCGTAACCCCTGGATATCGAGGTTGTCGTTATTGGAGCAATACGGATGCTTAGATTTTGTTTTGCTTAATTGGGTTTAGCGGACCATTAACAGGTCATTAAAGGAGCACCATGCCATTACTTAAAACTGTAGCTAAATGTTGGAAACTGTATATATGAAGGAAGATGCAAGAGTGTGTGAGCTGGATTGTAAAGGTGTTCTTCTAGTAATGGGCAAGTATTTTTGGAGGCAGGGTATGTTGGTGTATTTTCCTCATTGCGATAGTGCGGATCTGATGCCAACTTTAGAGTGCTAACTCACTGAAATACCAAACTGAACAATATGTGAAGCACAGTCATATGCTTGTTACATGATCACAAAAAACCTAACCTCCCGCCGATGTAGTTACGTACATGTATGTGTAAAATATATATGTCCTGCTGTGAAGTTGTGGGTGAACGACCTCCTCTCTACGGTCGTCTTCTTGTGTAGAACTTTGAATCCACATTGGGTTGAATTGCTTTTTGAAAAAAACATTTCTGGTCAATATTATCTCTGACCATTTTCGTAACCTTATGGTATTGTTGATTTGAGTCAGGTCACGTCACTTGCTCTGTATTGCATTGTGTACTGGTTATAAGGGCAACCGTTCATCAATCTTATTTATCAACGTGGATTAAATTAAAAATGCAATACTAAATTATCCCGGGTAACTGGAAGTTTTTTTCGGTGAGCAATTTTGCCAGATTATATATTCATTGGTTTGACACACAGAGGCTAACGGTAATGAAAACAGCCAAGCATCACGTAATTGATTCGCAGGGAGCTACCAAAACTGGACTTAATTTAGGTTCCGGAATCTTATACACATTTATCAATGACTTGGAATTCCATGGACGTATTCCGAACCAGTCTCGGCTCTAATGAAAATGTCCACATTCGTTTAACATGATATCACGGATTGCTTTGCCCTATGCACAATAGTTGGGCTGCGAAAAAAAGGTTAAAGAACAGAATCTATTTCTTCGCTAGCCGGAAGCTCGCAAAGACAAGCAAGAAAAGGAATTAAATTCGGTACAAAAAATAGGCTGTTTTACTATAATATGGTCCCTGTTTGTTCGATGTAGCATGATAATAGATAACGAAATAAAAAACACAATATCGTTCGGACAAAAAGTGTTTCTTTTAATTTTTGTGACATTTAATATCACACTGTAGTTGTTGTACACATTGGATATTAGTTTTAAGCCTTACAACTCATCATTGTATAATAAGACCTGTCTAAAACGACCACCTTTCTTTAAAGACTATCGTTCTATAAGCATCATGGGTTGCATTGGCCGTATGGTTAGGCGTCTGACCGTCTAGGTTCACTAGCTCTCCACCACTGGGTCGCAGGTTCGAGACCTACGCGGGGCAGTCGCCATACAGGTACTGGCCGCAGGTCGATGGTTCTTCCTCCAAGTGCTCCGTTGTCCTCCACCACCAAAACATGGCTCGTCCTTAAATAACCATATTTGTTATAGTAAATAGGACGTTAAACACATAAGCCAACCCTATAAGTACTATACAGTAAAACAAACTATCAAAATCACTTTACCGGTACTGAAGAATGAAGTTTTGAAACATTTACTTTTATTTCGAATATTCAATCCAATTTGTTCTTAATCCAAATACATTTTTATCCGAAAGATTTACAAAAGCACACATCTAACAAGTGTTCCCACTGGCTGCAAATACAAAATACCGCTTAACTCATTAAGAGAATCTGAAAGTCAAGTGCCCCAAAACGGTTTGATGGGCTCTTATTCATTGCATCAAAACTATTTTCCCAAAACCGTATAACGTTGCTATTGTCTGGCTTCCTCTTTGGTGCACAGATACATTTTGTAAAATTTTGCAGTGATCAGCCGTAATGAAACATATTTTGAGAGGCTTTCGTAGAACAATCTTTGGGGTATTTTCTGTCTGGTCGCGCTAAGGAAAATCCTTTTTTATTAATGTTTTGTTATACAATGTACATTTCATTATTTCATTATGGCTTCATCAAGGCTTAACATGACCGGCATTGTCTAGGGCATTCTCAATCGAAAGTAAACTACACCATGCCATTTACATGTTCTACAGTGCGTATGCATGTACAATGTACCTTAACACAGAGAAGCTATTTTGAACCCAATTTCACTCAAGAACACAGACGCATGAGGGTTCCTCGTAGGCGTAAGTAAACTTTTTTTTTTGAAAAATTGAAGCCGGTTTCTGTTCCTAATTATTGTCACTGAATACATGTAGAAATATGAATACAACATCATATGGGCGGTATACATGATTTTACAATAGCTTGAATTTGTTCACAAATATTGACAATATAAACATTTTAAAACATGAAAACATGTACTAAAATGTAAGAAGTTGCGTTACATTTTACACGTGTTGCTTTAATGTAAAGTGTGCAGTAAAATGTCTATTTAATCCTGACAAAATACATGTGGTATTGGGGTTTTGTAAGATTTTTTATCCTCAAAGGGATATAACGACGATGAACTGCATTATATTATATTCTATTTCACCCATTCTATCATACAACAGGTCAAAAAAAACAAAAAAAAACAAACATTCATTTTCAAACACGTTTGCTGCTTTTGCTCAATAGGAAAGAACACATGTCGAGTTTCGGTTTCAGTACCACGCCAAACTCAAACACTATGTCGGTTGTACCAAATCTTGTTCAACAAGCAAACGAGCGTGGATTACTGTCTTATTCCGTGTTGCATTGGTCTGATTTTCAACTCTGCTGGCCAGCCAAATTTGCTGACCAAAATGTCGGGTCGCATTACATTAAACAGGCGTATAGTTTGTTTACCGTCAAGCGTAAAGCTACCGATGAGTATTGTTATTTTGCTAATTTAAATATAGATTTAACCCATTTGTGTTTATGTTAAGATGAAAGAAGTTGGTCATACATATTACGTGTAATATTATACTAATGAAATTTAAAAAAAATGACGGTTTTGTTGTTTTGTTGTTTTGATGTTGCTTGAGCCCCCAACGAAAGTGTCATATTTATCCGCGAAAAGGCCGAGGGAAAATGTGTACATATATCTATAGATAAAGAAAATTATTTAAAAATGTGAATATAATGAATGAGATATATTATCAGCATAAACGCGATTCATGGAATATGTCTAGAATCCCACTATTTTTATGACCTCATAAACATTGAAAAAATATCCTTTCCTTAATTACATGTTACACCTAATAAATGTTTGTTTGTTTGTGTTTTACGTCCAATGAACAACAAATGTCACGTAAGGACGTCGTGCCAGGTTTTTGTGATGGAAGATAGCCGGAGTGCCCGTAGAAAGACCAATGACCTGCTGACAGTCCCTGGCGACTGCCCCCACGTAGGTATCGAACCCGCAACCAAGTGGTGACCCTATAGTGACCGATGGTGGTCAGACGCCTTAACCACTAGACCACCACAGACCACTAATTGAAAGAATGAATCCTCTGTGTGGTGCTGATATATTGGCTACGTAGTACAGATCTTGGTATTTTTCTTTGTGTGTTTCAGTCACGATTACAAGTCAATGTGTGCGCTCCTGGGGCTCGCTGTAAGAAATGACTGTATACACTGCTTCTGGATGCTCTATATGAGGACATTGGGTGCATTGGTTCTTGATTGATAGTGTTGAAGGCACTGCATGTTTGCAGTCAGTGCACACTCTGTGTTTTAACTCTACTGTGTGAACTGTCGTTTGGAGTCGCTGTTTGCAGTCACTGAGTGCAATGTATGGAGACACTGTACTATGCACTAGTGGTTCGAATTTCGTCTCGAAAAAATGTGGGCAGTGTTTGTGTGTATTGTCGCTGTATGACGACACTTTCACTCTGCTACATGTATATATGCTTGACTTAAGTAATGAAATTCTCAACATCCTTCTCCCCCAGAAAAAAACCCAACCCATTATAATCATTTGTCGTCGATGGTCATTAGTTTACTATCTCGAATTGAAATTATCTCCCTTGTATCTTTCAAAACATCCAACTTTTCGCACCGGATCCTAGTCCTAGCTAGCTGATTATCTCAACGTATATTACGAGGTCATGGGGTCAAGAAATTCACTGAGAGCAGGGACGTAGCCAGGACTATGAGTATATGGAAGCATACGAAGCTCGAAGCGCGGAGTAGGGATGGGTGGGGGGTG